ACATTTATATATAACGTGATCTGACCCAAAAACCTTTATTATCGGTCAAGTAATTGTTGGAAATTCCACTGTGCCTCACGTGACCTGATGTGGGGGTAGGGGGTGTTAGGGGTGGATCCTATTCTTCTAATTAATTTCGGCAATTAATTAATTTGAGCCACACTTTTATGATAATAAAGACACCGATTATGGGAAACTATGTTGGGGTGATTCCTATCCATGGACAAGCGGGAATAATAATATAAATGTGCGCGGATGCTCGTGAAATAGGAAGCATGCAGTGCACATAATTGCAAATAATATGAGGAATTTCTTGTCACTTCCAAATTAATTATATTATTAGTGAGAAAGCACATATATGAAGAATCAATTTGCCAATAGCACATCTATCCATCAATTCTGGCACACTTATAATAGGAAGAGCAGATAATAGGAATTTCAATGTATTGGTTGTTCCACTGGAACACAATGGAGCTTTAAAATAAGTATAACCCGTAAAAACAAAGTTTTTCACTATAAATCCTTTATATGCGTGGCAGCGAACTTAATATAAAGGATTTAAAAATATATTCGCCTGTGGAGGACGCGGGGATCGATCCCGCGACCTTCGGCATGGGAAGCGAGGGCGCTACCAACTGCGCTACTCCGCTCTGGGCTCGTATACTGTGACGTTCAGCCAAAGCGATGAATGAGTTCTATTTGGATATATGTAAAATAAAAAAAATTGCCTAAAAAGTGTAAAATTTTGGGAATTTTTTTTCACGAACATTAATTGTCTGGCACAACGAGTCTGTGTGGAAAATGTCAGCTCGATTGGATCACGGGAAGTGGGTTAAAAAACGACCGAAAGATTTGCATGGTCGTAAGCAAGCAAGCACGCAAGCAAGCAAGCAAGCGAACTTAATACAAAGGATTTAAAAATGTGAATCTTCCTATTCACTTTGGGACCCTGTGGGCAGTATAAAGATATGCAATTATAAAAAGGCATTTCCCTTTGTGGCGTAATATAGATGTGTTGTTTCATATTCTAGATTTGAAGCTTTCGTGACTGCAAGGATTCATACTCTTAGTTCTTTCGGTAAAGTCACGTAGGTAAAAAAATGAAATTAAAATTAATAAAAAATAAAATAATAAAAATCACGACGATGTTTTATATTCAAACACCAAATAGACAAGGCATCGTCTCCATTAACCGAATATAATTTTGGTAAAGAGAGATGCAAAAAATATGCTTCGATAATGTTTGCGGTGCTTTAAACCGATAGGCCTGCACCAGAGACACTCTTTCATGGCGTTGTCTCACCAGTGCTAGGCCAAAGGCCACCTAAAGACGAGCGGTACAAGGAAAATGCAAACAGCCAACAGCATTAACAGCTTGGGTTAAGCAGTTATAGCTATGGGGCACTTTAGTATCAATACATTGATTATCATTGGTTATCATCTCAACACCTGTATTCATGCCAGAAAGGGTAAAGCTTTTTTCACATTCACATATTCCTATTCATCAATTGTTGGGTGAAAGTGTGGTAATGGTGGCAGGCAATTTCCAGAATTTTTCTTTCATACCGTACTTATGGGAGCGCAATGTGTTTTTTGCTATCTCATCAAAATGTCATCCTGGCTCGGTTCTCATTTTCCAAAGATGTGCTTAAAATGCTAATTTTATATCTAAGCTGAGCTTCGAGTGTTACTCCCCTTCTTATGTGTGGTTTTATCCGTGTGCTTGATTTTCCTCCCACACGCCACTCACTCATTAACGGAATTGGCCAACCTCCCCAAGACAGAATCCTTCAGGGAAAGCACCTTTAGACCCAGTGAGGCTTTCCTGGGTAAATAATTACCTCTCGTATGAGTCACTGAGATAAATAAATGACAAAACCATGTGCTTGCGTGGATGTGTGAAAAAATCTAAACATTACTTAAAAATGCATGCTTCAAAAAATGTTAACACTTGTATGGGACTATCGTTTTTAATGGGAAAAAGAACGGATAATACACTGAAACATGATAGCAAATGTTTGTTAATAGCTCCAAAAAGTCAAAGAGTGTCCACTTGTTCGCCATCGTTGTCAACACTCGCATGGAATTTTCTCCAGGTGATCTGAAACTGAAACCTGAAAACTGTCTTGTGGTATTGTTGAAAATGATTGGAAGTGTTAACATTGTTTTGAAGCACCCTGCATATGCAAGGACTTATTGGTGTGGTTACACTGGGATAATTCATGTAAATATATGGATATATTTGTACATATTACGAGCCTTGAGACCAAATCACCTGCAATGCCTGTTCTCAAGATATCTCAGAAGCTGAGTGGGGTGTAAGACTGGAGAGCAATTGGATGGGCAAACACCAATGTCGTAGCATGTGTTGTAGGCTGTGGGGCTACGTCATGGACAGCAGAGAACAGGACAACAAGATCCATCGTTGTCCTGTATTTATACGCTCCAACCTCTACGCTCCCCGCATTCACCAACCAGCACCGAAAACCCTTGCAAATGAGATGTTCCAACTTTTAAGGGATTATCCAATTTAAATATTAAACTAAAGTATATTAACACGTAGGCTTTCGCGAACAATGTTATTCGTAATAAAGGTTTTTGGGGTTAGATATGAAAAGTATATTGTATTCTTGGTTCTTACGGTAAAGTCACGTGACTTTACCGAAAGAACCACGAATATGAATCCCTGCAGTCACGAAAGCTTTAAATCGAAAAGTATATTGTTAAAAAGTATAGTCAAATAATCCCTATGACCCCACACAGCCTTATCCAGCAGAGAACCCTTTCCAGCAGTGAATTAATAAAAGGACTGTACACATTAATGAAAGGACTGCACACATGCTTATTCTTGAACCTCTGCAATTGGACAGTACGCAGGAATATTGAATACTATTAAATGTAGCCGTATAATGGCATTTACAATGAATGTCTGAGTAAAGCCCTGTGGAATTGAACCTTGACCACTTCACATTCAATTTCAATAGCGATGATGCTAAAACAGCAGTGATGAGCAAAACATGTCTTCAACTTCAAAATACAGACTTAACGGTTCATTCCAGTTATTCGATTAATTACCATGATTCGATTCAAGGAAGACTTAACTTTTTTCAACATCGCGGTCAATGTAGGAGCCATTAGTGGCTGAAGGTGGACCCATTCCATGTGACATGTATGAATACAAAAATAAGTCACACATGCAAAATCAATGCATGTATTGAGAATTTAATAATCAATACTGATGAATCGATGCATTATTACATTCTGGGTGCACGCAGTCATCGTGTTCGATGTGATTTATAATTGCTACAATCTTTTGCAGTTAAGTTTCTTCTCGGTCTGGTCAAGGTCTCCCTTTGGAGCTACACTGTCAAGTCTCAATTGACTGTCATCTGCTTATAATTAAGAATTTATTTTACTAGATGTAAATAAAACATGTATTCTATATGACACAGCATGTGTGAATAATGTTAAACACATTCCTGCGGAGGGAGCTGGTAGGAACGTTGGGTTGCTCGGTCAATGGCCAGGGTCAACGGCGGCGTGGTGTATTCCGCAAATATGCCCGACTGTGAGGGCGGGCACAAGCCGGCGTGAGTAGGTTAAACGTTGAGTTTTATAAGGACACCACGGGGTGACCAGCCCCTCCCCACCCAGCCCCACCCTCCCCACCCAGCCCCTCCCTACCCTCCCCACCCAGTCCCTCCCCTCCCCACCCAGCCCCACCCTCCCCACCCAGCTCCTCCCCACCCTCCCCTCCCCACCCAGCCCCTCCCTTCACGACGGACGGATGGACACAATAATCCCCTGTGGGCTGGTGTAACCAGGAGGTTCCTACCAGTATAAATAACGAATAATTTAAAGCCCTTGAGTCAAGTCACTGCTGCATGAAGGCCTCCCCAATCCATTGTTGGTCATGGGGATTGTTTAACTATACCACTTTGCCCGGATCAAATTGAGATAGAGAAGTCACAGGCTTATACGGATAACTTCACACTGACAGAGGAATCCGAGACTCACATAGAGACTTTCACACTTACAGAGATCCTTAGAGTCACATAGAGACTTTCACACTTACAGAGATCCTACGACTCGCATAGAGGCCTTCACATTGACATAGAGATCCTTAGATTCGCAGAGACCTTCACACTAACATTATAGAACATTAGACTCGCATAGAGACCCACAGACTTAGAAACCTACAGATAAATAACTATGCACGCCTGCGATCTGCATGCACACGCCACTGCTGGTGTATGGACCTACACTCAAGAAAACTCAAAGTCAACCCCCCTAAGCATGTCAATTGGCCTACTCTTCCACAACAGCCAGATTTGTTTTTTTTTTTCTTAAAGAGTTGGGTGTACCCACACTTTACCCCACCATCACCGCGCCATGCAGAGGCTTCACGAAGACAACCTTAGATCTTCTTGGTTCTTTCGGTAAAGTCACGTAGATGGGAAATAATAAAATAATAAAAATACAACATAATAAAATACAATTCTCACTAGTGAGTATTATGTTTCATTTTTATTATTTCATGATTTCGCTTCTACGTGACTGTATCGAAAGAACCAAGAAGATGAATCCCTGCAGTCACGAAAGCTTTAAATCGAAATTTTATAATTTTATTGTTTTATTTTTATTATTTTATTATTTCCCTTCTACGTGACTTTACCGAAAGAACCAAGAAGATGAATCCCTGCAGTCACGAAAGCTTTAAATCGAAATTTTATTATTTTATTGTTTTATTTTTATTATTTTATTATTTCCCTTCTACGTGACTTTATCCGAAAGAACCAAGAAGATGAATTCCCTGCAGTCACGAAAGCTTTAAATCGAAATACAACCTCAAGATGTTTTCGCTGCCGCTGCTGAGCGGCCGACTTGACCATGCACACACACACACACCCACGCGCGTCCGACAATCAAATCAAACGCACGCACGGCGAACACCGCCGTCGCGTGAACAAATTGCCACGATGTCCATGCGGGCCACTGACCCACGCCGGCCGATGTCCTTGGACGCCGATGCCTGTCGCCTCGCTCGCCTCTCTCCGCAGACCCCGAGTGTCCACCACCACCATCACCGCCCGCCACCACCGCCACCACCGCAGTCACCGTCGTCATCGCCGCCTTCTTCGTCTCTCGTTCTCTCCTCGTCGTCCGTGCAGGCCGGAGTCACCGAGAAGCGGACCGACTGCGCCATGCTGCTCTGCGTGTCGATCTTTGGCTGTGGAGCAGGGGAAGCAGGAGAGAGGAGGGGGGGTGAGAGCGCGCAGCGAACCAGGAGGACCCCCAAGTTCGATTCCAGCTCACGGACAACACCGGGAGATGAACACCTTGAACCGGTCCTGGGCATTTCACCCCCCTCCCCTAGGTCAGCTCGGCCTCAAATGAGTACCTGGGGGAGAACAAAGACGGCCGGTGGCGTGGTTTGCTGGCCTGTACCCCACAAGCCCTCGTGTGCCGTGCCGGTCTTCGTAGGTGCTGCTCGCTAACAGCACTTGCCACCCCCCCCAAACATCTACGATGCAGATTTTTGTCTTTGTGGCTGCGATGTAATGGCACACAACACATGACGATCCGTGCAGGGAATTACACACGCGCATGTGCGTGTGTGTGTGCACAAGGTACACCGTTCTGTATGTACACACGCGCGCATGTGTACGCGCAATATTGTGTAGTGCGTGCAATAGTATGTGAACACAATTATGCGTAGGGGCATTTAAGATATGTGCTGACGATAACAGTGCAATTATGCATGCACATGCACAGTAGGTCTATTGTGCAACGCATTAATCCATAGCGGCGGTTAAAGAGACGCATACAATGACGCGAATATTGTGGTACAATTAAATATGCGTAGCAGCTCTTGCAGACACTTGCACATACCAGGGCGAATATAGCGCGCGCGTACATTCCCCTTGAATTGTAACTACGCTGTGTTGAATTATGCGATCAGCAACGCATTACGGTACTGTTGTATGTCCACACTCAATGGACATAATCTTGTGTACAAGCACGGACACGTAAGGCTTGCTGCATGCGTGCATTCTGTGCACAGCGCCGAAAACAGTTGTGTACCAGAAGCACACACGATGACACGTGGGCATGTCTGCAGTTTAAACATAGATGTCACTGTACACCAGCAAGGGAGTTTACAATTATGGACCGCGTTTTGGGATACACATACACAATTGTGTACACATACACCGTTGTGTATGTATCACAAATTGTACGCGTGTATGTCACATGCACAATTGTGTACGCGTGTGTATCACACATATATAATTGTGTGTGTATTGATACGCGCATACACAATTGTGTGTGTGTCTGATACACACACTGTGTGTAAGTGTCACACACATACATAATTGTGTGTGTATGTGTGTGTATATCACAGTGTGTATGTGTGTGTGTGTATCACACACACATACACAATTGTATGTGTGTATGTGTGTGTGATACACACACTGTGTGTATGTGTGTGTGTCACGCACATACACAATTGTGTGTGTATATATGTGTGTGATACACACACGGTGTGTATGTGTGTGTGTGTATCACACACACACACATACACACATTGTCGTGCACCGTCGAACACAGCGTTTAAACAAAGACATGCAGAGCAGTGAAGGGGATTTAAACAGACACATTTACAATATATTTGACACACTTTGGGCCGCACGTGCAGGACTAGAACGCGTGTCGCTGTCCACACTGTGTGGTACTGTACATGTCGTGTGTGTGTGTGCTGTATTCACCGAATTGATAACATCACACAATGAAGCTTCCACTTAAAGATATATATATAGAAGCGTGTGTGTGTGTACTCTTACGTTCACCGGGTTACGTGCAACATTGTCATGTAGACATTATACCCAGATACACGCACGCATGAGTATTTTACTGCAAGCGTGTGTGATATAGTATAGTACATACACTATGTACACTCAACATTGTATATGTAGACACGATGCATATATACACACACACGTGCATGCACACGTGACGCAAACGTGGGTTAAATTCGGAACACCAAATCCCGAAATCATAAACGCATACACACAAACACATCCGCAAGGTCCCAAATTCACATTCCAATCACACGACACAGAATTCTCTCTTTCTGTGTGTCTCTCCCTCTCTCTCACCTTGGCAGAATGAGAAGCAGCAGCCGCTACAGCAGCACAAAACCGATGTCATTTAGCTGTGCACACACATGCCGAGTGTGAGTGTGTGCGCACAATGTGGTGTGGACATGCAAATTGCGAGAGAGAGATATCTGTGTTCAAGTCTCGTCCGATGTTCAGTGTTGCCGGAGCATGGCTGGCTGGGCTCTTGGCTGCGTTGAGTGAGGAGGGAATGGGCTGCGAGCTTGAGAATGGAAGAGGAGGAGGGGGGGGGCATTGGCTGTGGTGGTGGTGATGATGATGAGGGGCGTGGAGAGTGCCAGCTGGGAATGTGTGTTGTGTTGTGTGGCAGGGAAGAGTGTGTGTGTATGCGTATTTGTGTTGTGTTGTGCGCTGGCTGGTGTGCGTGTTGTGGTGTGCACTGATGTGTTTGTGTGTTGTGGTGTTGACTGATGTGTGTGTGTTGTGTACTGGTGTGTGTGTTGTGGTGTGCACTGGTGTGTGTGTTGTGGTGTGTACTGGTGTGTGTGTTGTGGTGTTCACTGGTGTGTGTGTTGTGTTCTGGTGTGTTGTGTTGTTCACTGGTGTATGTGTTGTAGTGTTCACTGGTCTGTGTGTATGAGTGTGTGTGTTTGTGTGTGCATGTTTGTGTGTGTGTTTGTGTCTGTGTGTTTGTGTGTGTGTCTGTGTGTGTGTATGCGCGCGGGGGAGCGGTAGTGTAGCAACGAACCCGGTGACCCGAGTTCGATTCTCGTTCACCGCCACCAACACCGGTGGCGATTATCTGAGCCTCCCCTAGGTCGACTCAGCCTCAAATGAGTACCTGGTCGAGTGTGTAAACATCGTCACTAGGGAGACAAAGGCGGCCGGGCGTGGGGCTGTCTTGCCCCAACAGTCTGTTACAGGCTATACGGGGATCTTTGTCTTTGTTGTGGTGTGCACTGTGGGGCCGTCCATAAATGACGTCACGCGATTTTGAACGATTTCTTACCGCCCCCCCTTCTTTACACGGCGTCACAAAAAGTCAGACCCCCCACTCAAATATGACGTCACAAAGCTCTGCCCCCCAAATAAAACATGCTTCAAATCACTTTAAACTATTGTCATTGTAGTGCGTATTTAATGTGGCGCTGCACTATGATGTTGTAGGAGAAAACATTTATTACAAAGTCTATTTAATTAAGTAGAACGTGTTGTCTATATTTATTTAAAGTTGCGCATTTTGATGTGACGTCACATTTCTCAACTCCCCCCCCCTCTCGTCACACATCGTCACAAATGTCTGACCCCCCCCCCCCCTAGGTGCGTGACGTCATTTACGGACGGCCCCTATGAAGTACTACTGTTTATTTATGATGTACTTATATGATTGACTTGATGATGGTTTGTGGCTCGCATCACGCACCGGCATGAATCAGTATCAACTGGAATTCAAATCGATGTTTCGAAGCTCCTCGTATCTGCGAATAAACATTGGTAATTAATGGAGATTGATAATTAATAGACATGGATAATAGACATTGATAAGAGATTTTGACTTGAAACTTTCGTGACTGCAGGAATTCATATTCTTGGTTCTTTCGGGAAAGTCACGTAGATAGAAAATACAAATAAATAAACAAAAATTTAATTGAAAATGAAGGTAAAAAATACCCCACGACGTTTCGATGGCAACACTTGCGGTCTTCATCTTTTCCCTCCACCTGATGAAGACCGCTTGTGTTGCGATCGAAACGTCGAGAGTTTTTAGCCTTTTTATTTATTTATTTTAAAAAAATTCTATCTACATGACTTTACCGAAAGAACCAATAGCATGATAATAGATACGGATAATGGAGATGGATAATAGACATTGATTATAGATTTGGATAATGGACATGGGTTATAGATATGGATAATAGATATTGATAATATACATTGATTTGATATTTTCTTTTTTACTTATATACACATGTCATTGTTTGTCTGTGTGTTCGCACACTTGCGAAGGATTTGGCTCTCAAACGGTGGGGGTTTATGTAAAAAAAAAATTGCCAGCTAACACGCCGTGAGCTCCGTGGTGAGTAAGCGCTATTCCTTTTTCCCATCCCTCAACTTTAAAGTAGTTAAATTAGCGATTTAGTGCGATTTCTATTTACCTACCCGCGCTCGACCATACCAACTCACACGCCTTCGGTGGGGGGGAGACGGCCCCTACCAAGTCACACGCGTTCGGTGGGGGTGAGGGGGACATTTTCTTTCGTGTAAAAATGCAATAAAAATACACAACACGCTGAGGTAAATAATTCACAGTGTGATGTCCCCCCACCCCAATGCGTACAGTTACTACTATACAGTCGGTAGATGCTACCACTATAGGCTCTAGATCAGGGGTCCTCAAACTTTTTAAACAGGGGGCCAGTTCACTGTCCCTCAGACCGTTGGAGGGCCGTACTATAGTTAAAAAAAACTATGAACAAATTCCTATGCACACTGCATATATCTTATTTTGAAGTGAAGAAACAAAACGGGAACAAATACAATATTTAAAATTAAGAACAAGTAAAGATAAATCAACAAACTTGCCAGTATTTCAACGCGAACTATGGGCCTGCTTTTGGCTAATGAGATGGTCAATGTCCGGTTCCATATTTGTCACTGCTAGTCGTAACAAGTGATGCAAGTGTGCATCCGTTAGTCTAGATCTGGTTGGAAATTTCAAATGTTTAATTCTGGAAAAAGTCTGTTCACAGACATAAGTGCTGCCAAAGATGGTTGCCATTTTGAGTGCATGGTTCCTGAGATGAGGATATGTCTCAGAGGGGAGAGATGCATAGAAATTATGAAGGCTGCTTGACTTGAATGCGTCTTTCAGAGAGTCACAATTCTGCAGTTCAGCCAGTTCCATTTGGTAAATTGTATCCACATTTTCAACGTCAATAGAAAATGGGTTACGGAAAAGCTTTATGTCCTGTTCATGGAGATGAAGCTCTTTAAATCTAAATTGGAACTCCTTTTGCAATTTCCCCAGTGAATCCATACATGTTTTGTTTGGGAATGCAACCAATGGTTTTTCCGCTAACAGATTTTGAGTTGTGGGGAGATGGCAGAAGTTTTCCTCCTTCACTTGTTTGATGAGGAGGCCTAATTTTACTTCAAATGCTTTGACATGTGATTGCATATCACAGATGAGCTTCCCCTTTCCTTGAAGTTGCACATTGAAACTGTTGAGTAGCTCTGTTACATCTGTCAGAAAGGCAAGGTGCCATTTCCATTCTGCATCATTGAGCTCTGGTACTTCTTTGTTTTTTTTAAAGCAGAAAAGCTGTAATCTGTGGAAGTAAGTCATAGAAACGTTTCAAAACTCCCCCTCGACTCAGCCAACGGACTTCTGTGTGATACAGAACATCTTCATAGTCAACATTTAGCTCAGACAGAAATGCCTGAAATTGTCTGTGGTTTAGTGCATGAGCTCAAATGAAGTTAACACAAGATACCACAAATTTCATAACAGAGTCCCACTTCAGTGATTTACTACACAGCGCTTGTTGGTGGATGAGGCAGTGTATGGCTATTGGATGAGAATGGTTATGTTTGTCCATCTCTTGGTTAATGCGAGCAATTACTCCTTTCTTAGACCCCACCATGCTAGGAACACCATCAGTTGTCACACTGGCTAGTTTAGCCCAGTTCAGCTCCAAACCATTCACAGTTTGGCAAACCTGTTCATAGATATCCTCTCTTCTTGGTTCTTTCGGTAAAGTCACGTAGAAGGGAAGTAATAAAATAATAAAAATAAACCATAAAATAATTCTCACGACGTTTCGGCCACAACGCAAGCAGCCGTCCTCAGGTGAAAACCAGGTCTGTCGGGGAGACAGCGTCTGAATGAAACAGCACACGAGCTTGGAGCATGTATATAAGCTGGGTTGGAAGCGGGGGACAGAGCGCCTTGACAAAATAATTTGCATATCAAGAGGAATTTAGCATATTTATGGGAAATGCAGGAATGTGATTAGTACTACATATGCAGCACGGGCATATGTAGTACTAATCACATTCCTGCATTTCCCATAAATATGCTAAATTCCTCTTGATATGCAAATTATTTTGTCAAGGCGCTCTGTCCCCCGCTTCCAACCCAGCTTATATATGCTCCAAGCTCGTGTGCTGTTACATTCAGACGCTGTCTCCCCAACAGACCTGGTTTTCACCTGAGGACGGCTGCTTGCGTTGTGGCCGAAACGTCGTGAGAATTATTTTATTATGTTTTACTTTTATTATTTTATTACTTCCCTTCTACGTGATGACTTTACCGAAAGAACCAAGAAGATGAATCCCTGCAGTCACGAAAGCTTTAAATCGAAAGACATCCTCTCCTGTAGTTGTTACTTTGATGCTTTGCAGTGCAGCAAGCTCTTCTGTGACTTCGAAATAGTCATTCGTCCCACGAATAAAAATTAGAAGTTGTGCAGAATCACGAACATCATTGCTTTCGTCGAGTGCCAAGGAAAAATAGGAAAGTTTTTTTGTGGAGTTTTGCAAATGCTGATGCAAATTGTCTCCCATTTCTTCAATCCTCCGTGCAATTGTAGGTCCTGAAAGACTCACTGTACTAAATAAATCGGCCTTCTCTGGACACATCTCTTTGACAACAGAAAGAAGGCATTCTTTAACAAATTCTCCCTCCACGAATGGTCTGCCAGTGCACGCTATTAGCTTGGCAACTTGAAAACTTGCTCGCAGTGATGAAATATTTAGCTGCTTCTGCTTCACAAAAGTATTTTGCTGAGTTGTTAATGTATTTTTCAGTTTTAATACTTTATCTTTTCTCACTTCTCCGACCAAACAATCATATTTATCTTTATGTTGAGTTTCATAGTGTCGACGTAAATTGTATTCTTTGAACACAGACACTATATTCTGGCATATCAGACACACAGCTCTTTCCTTGTACTACATGAAAAAGTAATCATAAGTCCACTGTTCTTTGAATATCCTACACTCCGAGTCAATTTTTCTCTTTCTTGACATCATTATTTCCTAGGGAGTCAAAATTGCTATTAGTAAAATACCAATATATATACAGCGCTACAAAAACAATATACCAGCAATAACTTTGCCCACACAGAGACATACAGACTGCACTGCCCATCAATGCAGTCTGATTGGGGGGAACTCCGCCCCCTCTCCCTCTTCCACCAATGACCGTCCTTCTCATGTAGAAAAAAAGTAACAGACAGGCAGC